CTGGTAATTTTTTTCCGACGAAACATCCGCCAGAGCAATACATCAAAATGCAGCGGTAACATTTTATTTGGAGTTTTGCTTCTTTGGCACGTAAGGGGCAAGCAACCACCCAAAGTGCAACTATTAAGTTAGTCCTTTTATGTGACGTTTAGTCTGGTTTTCATCGGCTTTACAACCATCTCTGGCGGAAACGTGAATTGACCAAAAGATAATTTTTCTGCCCTTTGTATGTCTGCCACCTATGAAAAAACCTAAGCTAAGTAGCTCCACCCACATTTCCATTAATTCTCATATGACTTTCTCCGTTTTTACGAAGTGCTCGGGAAAAGGTGTGGCATCCGTCGTTTGCAAGGTTTGTTCATCATGTCCATTTAGTCATGAGGGCCTATTCCAAATATCTCCTGTATCTCAAAATCTCCGGTCGTCCCGTTGATCGTCGATTTGCTCGAGCGGGCGCCAGCAACGTCTCCATTCGTCCCTGTCGCGTGCTAGAGTGGTCCAGTGGATCCTCCTCGCTCGAGGGACACGATTCGTTCAGAGCTTTCGTGAAGAAGTCTGACCATCGGGCCGGCGGTCGTCCAGGTGTTCGTTTGACGTCCCGAGGGATCCAGTCGGTAACCGCTCTGGTCCAACGGTCATCGCAAAATCGCATGACGTGTCCGGCCCACCTTATCTTCGATTCCTTGGCGAAAACGGCAGCGTCCCTGATCTTCGATCGTTGGCGTAGTTCCCTGGATTCCCCTCTGCACTTGCGTGTGTAGAATTACTTCAAGCATCCAGAATTCCATACATAGATTGCTTATTTGTTAAAGTCGCACACAGGGTGTGATGTGTGCCTCGAGGACGATTAAACACAAGGTGTGTTGGCAGGTACTCAGCTGCAAGCTTGCCTAGAGATGTGGATTTTACCGCCCCTTCCCATGTGTACTTTGGTAGCTAGGTAATTATGGCACAGGAACCGCAGTACGGACGAGTCTCGATTGAAATCTATTATAATTACTTTTCATGAATCGTAGCAACGGAATATCAGCGGCACTGTTAGGTATTTTCTCTCTCACGAACTACTGTGTTTATTGTAGAATCATCTGATTCGCCTCCATGGCGGCAAGCAAGTTTTCTTGGCAAATTTGCTTCGTTCAGTCATGGTGTCAGTCCTTCTACTGTGACTCAAGAGATAAATACCTAAAGATCTGGCATCTCATTGCATTCAAGTTGCGAGCAATAGGAACCTCGCGATGAAAAATAAAAGCATTTTTGTGGGGACAATTCTTCGTGCACGGCAACACCTCTCTAACATGATCTTTTTTCGATTTCGACATCTTTTCTCATATGAAAATGAAAGTTGTTTTGCATCAGAGGAAGCCATCACAGAGAAATATGAAAATCCAGTGCCTCCTTACGGGAAAGGTTTATTTTGTTAGCTATTTTCGTAAAGTTTTGTGCCAAACTTCTTCTTTACGTCAAGCATTTCCTCTTCTATAACACACTGACGCCCGCACTGACATGGCTGCATTACCTGCGCGCATACCCGGCGATGCACAAATCTCACATTCGGTACATTTTGTGGAATATCTCTACAGGACCCATATATCGCGCTTCGCAAAAAGACCCCATGTATTTCGCAACAGGGCCCTCACAATCTCAACAGCAACCTCCCCACTAGGCTGACAACGTATTGCTTTCGTCCTTTCTTTATTCTACTTTTTCTCGTTTTTTTCTTTCGCTTCCTGCTATTTTTTGCTCTCGGCTTCCTCCTAATTTTTTTTTGCTGGAAAATACACTCAGCAATTAGTAGCCATTGACTATTTTAACACAGTTTATGAGGGTTCCAACTGAGGCACTGGTTGTGCAAACTGAAGTTCCAAAAGTATCTTGAAATTAAAGATGGAGAGCAGCCATGTGTTCTGTGGATTCAAGGCACTAGTGGAACTTCTATCGTCACAGAAGTAATGAAAAAAAAGATAAGGAGAACCTTAAAATCAATAGCATACTGGGCGATGCGCAAATGTCAGATGTGGGAGTTTCGACGTGCATACCCGACGATGCACGCAGGGTGCAGCTTGATAACAATGAGAAGTGTGGCTCACTTCTCATTGTTATCACCATGGCTTCCCATAGCTGCAGTCCGTGCCGAGGGCAACCACAGCCAACGATGGTGCAGATTTTCCTTCGCTTCGATGCATTGATGAATACCTGTATGATTTCATTTTGATGCTTCATGAATTTCTTGCTACATTCATATTTATCCAATATTTATGTCGCTCCAGATTGCAATTCAAAGCTCCCTTCATGCACATAGGTATGCGTATAGATAGTCAAACAACACTCTTATTGTACTCACGTGGCAGCCATTTGCGGAAGGAAGCTATAAATCTAATGGGCTTTCACTTTGTAACTTCCTAAATGATATGAAAGTGCATGCACTTAGCATATTTATGTGCAGATAATTGCCCGCTTGGCATGGTTAGATCAGGGACGGTAGTAAAGTGCCATAGACTGGGAGTCAAAGGTGGTGAACTGCGGCCGTAAACGGCGAATAATGAAAGGAGAAACAGGGAGGTGACCCTAGGATAGACGGCGAACTTCAGCACGATGTTGGCAAAACTGCTGCATCGCCCGGAATTGAACTCTCTGCTATTCACTTGACAGCGGGCACTGATACCACTGCGCCATCAACGCTGCATTGCACATGCTGGAAGGGTTGCTGAGGTAGAGAACAGCCGTCGGGGGGAGAGGGGACCAGCGGATCAATGGGCATGGCAGGGACGCAGAAAGACGGCGTGGCAATTTGCCAAAACGGCGAGCCGGCAGAGAAAGGAGAAAGTGGATGGAGATTGAAGAGACCATAGACGGTGACTAAAAATGTACCCCCGAGTTACATTTTAGTACAAACTACAGTACAAATTATTGCTTCTTGGAATCCCTGTTTGTGGACCAAACATAAGGAAATGAACGGTTTGGGTCGATTTACTTAACAAGAGACAGAAGAAAATTTTGTCTTTTTTTTAATTTTTTAAAAGTGTTCCCTTTCCGTGATATTCAGAAGTTTCAAGGTCTGTGAGGAAGCTCAAATTCCATAGTTTTCTTTAACTACCCAAGATTATTATCAAACTAGTCTTAAAAACGTTGTTATCGTTGTATGTTCAGAACCGTTCGTTTTCTACAGTACCACACATTGAAATCCAACC